AATAGAACCATTAATTCTTTATTATGCACATGTATCATCTCCCGACTACTTCCTCAACTCACATGTTATACATAGGATAAACATAATAGGAAAGCAATTACAATAAAGAAAAAAAAAATCAAGAGCCCTTTGAGGCAAGGACAAAATAAACAAAAGTAACCATCTTCCGCATAAATGTTTGTTGAATAAATAAATGAATGGATTAAAGTGAAATTAGAGTTTAGACTTGGAATTCCCTAGAAGGAAGAGCAAAAAGAGAAACAGGGTGAGTTATAGGTCTTGCATAAGAAAGCATACAAGCTTAGTGACAAATTTACTGTGCTGACTTTAATAATGGGGTAACAAGTGATATCTTGACAGCAGAATTTCAGAAGAAATGGAGATGATTTATGCATAAAAGTTATTTTTTAAGTGGTCTTTAAAAACCAGTTGGAAAGTCCTTACGAAGCATTTCTGTGAGAAGCTGAGCTAATGTTCTCTGGGTATGTCTCCTGTTGTGCTGGTTGGTGCAGTCACTGAGCTCAGAGATTGTAGAATTGTCAGCCTGGGTTTAATGGGAAGTCAAAGAGACTTCCAAAGGCCTGACAAATGGTCATGGGCCAGCAGTGAGACTCAGAAGATGCGGTGGGAGGTGACCAAGGTCTGGACCAATCCCTACTTTTACTTCTCTTTGCCTTTTTTTCTTTTACCCTCTCATTTATATTTATTGAGCACAAGGACAGATACCAAGATCAATAGGAATGGCCCTTGCAAGCACAGAGCTTATCTTTTTTTCTGCCACCTGACGGAAAAAGGATTATTTCTGTCTCCTCACAACCCAGCTACTGCCAAGCGTTGCCTTCCAGAGGTGTAAGCAGAGAGATGAGCTGGGACCCTCTTGGGGGTGCAGTTAGATAACTTAGGGGATTCATTGGGTCACTGCAGGCACTGGGCCCCGTGTGGGATGAGGGGTGCAGTCTTGTGTGTGCTAGTTATGGGGTTTTGTGCCCGGACGGCTAGAAGACTAGCCAGGTTCTCATGGACAGCAGATGCTCCCTGATCCCTCTGATTCTTGGTGGAGGAAAATCCTTCTGCCTAGGGATTTCCCTGTGTGGGAAAAGTACACTGTGTAGTATCGGGAGACTGACAGCCTTGGTGCGAACCCCACTGTTCGGTTTTGCCTCAAATACTTACCTTGATTGGTTTACCTCCATTCTTTTGAGTTGCTTTTTACTTCTATGCATTTTCCATTTCATTCTGTTTACTAGGCAATATGATGAGGGGAGATAGGAGATGCATAGGTCTTGTACAGCCAGAGACTGACTGGCCCAGAGCAGGGGCACAATACGCATATGTCAAATGAATGGATGAATTAATGCCTGAGTGAATTAGGGTGAAATGGGAAGGACTTGTGTCCACAACTATCCTCATCACACCTTGTACCAATGTTCTGATTTTGAAAGTATGGTCCTTCTACCATAGGATAGCTTCATTTTTGAAGGGTCTTTGGGGCCTGTACCCTCCCTACTACTCACTGGCCTTACTGATGTTCAAATATTCCTTCCTCTGCTATTGCCAAAGATCTGTTTGGCTTTCTTAGTCTCTTCCTCCACTCACTGCCTTTTATTGCAGTTCTGATTATAGTTTTAGAGTTCATATGTGGTTGCTATAGACACATGTGCTCTTTTATCATGTAGAAAGTAACTTTGCTTTTTGATATAGTGTGATTAAGTCCAAGGAAGCCAAGATTTGCTGATAGATGGTTTAATATTATGTTATAGAGCATTATAACAAATTAGCCATTAATGCAAATGTCCATCATTAGCTATGTTTGATAACTGGCTTTGGATTTACAAAAATGATATTATCAAAATGATTAATAGACATTGATATTTAGAACTGAATTTTAAAAGTCCAGTAAAATTAATTTGTTAGTCAAGTATTTAATACTCATAGGCAGGTAATGATAAAATCAGAAAGAGTGGGAGAAACTTCCAAGAATTTTCTTCAGAGGAAGAAAATTTTAAAAAGAAGGCATTGACAAAATTAAATCCAGTAACTAAAACTCAGTGAGTAATGATCTAGTTTTCTTTATGAAATAATGCCAGGCCTTGTTCTGATAATAATCTGATTCACTTAGATATTCTGGCAGTTGCGGGTTGGGATAACACTTTGAAGATGATTTTGATTAAATAACAAAGTGTTCATTTTTTTTACTTTTTCCATGATATTTGATCCCCAAACCTGATAAAGCCACACTTCCTTTGCCTGGAGACCGAGAGCTAGGCTGGCAATATTTTACATCTGAAATAATTCACCATCCTGCAGTGACTTGTGTCTCCCCCCAGTGTCACCTTGTCTTGTATTCTCCCAACAGGAGGAATGATAATGAATCACTGCCACAGCGGTCTGAGTTCATTTCTGAAACAAAAATTCCAGGAATTAGAGTAGCTCTTCAGCTCACCTTTTGCCTATTTCCTAGTCCTGCTTGTAAAACACTAACTTGGAGCATATTCCCAAGGGGTAGGTTCTGACTGGCTGGACTGGACCGGGAGAGAATTTTAACTGACCTGCTAGAAACTGCTCTCAAAGGTCACAGATGATGTTCATGGTCCCGAAAGATTTCCACTTTCACTGCAGAAGTAGCACCCAGGTGTCAGGTGCCTGATAAGCAGGTTTAAATCTCAGGGAAGAAACTCAACACTGAAAACTAATCTGTCAAGTTGGCAGGAAAAAATAAATCTTTGTCCTTATTAGGACTCTGCTACAGTGTTGTGCCAAGATCTTACCCATAGTTAAAGCTTTACCAAGCACATGACACTGCGCACAGTGTTTGTCATTGACCTGTCCCTTGTTCTGGGCTGCTGGGGCCTATAGCTCAGTGGCTTCTGCACCAAACTGACTCTTTGGCGAGATTTGGAACCTGTGGATCTAAGGTTGGGCTCTCTAGAGGCTCCTTGTACCATTCCCTTAGAAGTCCTTCCCACCACCGAGGCAGAGTGGGACACGCATTCTCACTAAATTTCTACTTTTTAGTCTTAGGAGTATCTTCTCCCTCCAGTGCTAGATGAATTCTGTATTGGTCAGAAACAGGACTGATATATATTGGTCAGAAACAGAATTGATATAATCACGTAAGGGGATTTCTTGCAGGACCATGGGTGAGAACAGTCTACAAGGGCTGTCTATATGCTAGAGAGCCAGAGGGTCTGGTAACGACTGAGTCAAAGAGCTGGAAGTCTTGGAACAAGGAGGCCCAAGGACATAGCTCCAGCCTCAAATTGGAGTCCTAGAAGCTCCTTGGAGGCTCCCTGGAGCGTTACTATATGAGTCTGTGTTGGAAAACTGAAGCAACTGAAGTCTGATGTCCACAAGTGATGGCAACAAAAGATCTACCCGCTAAGGCAGAATGGACTGTTCAGACGCAGGTCAACGTCCCGTTTCTTTCCCTTTTATTCCATCCGGGCTACAAGCCTATTGGACGGTGTCGCCCAGAATCGGGGCGGGTCTTCCCTTCTCAGTTTGCTGGTCTGCGTGTCAATCATCTCTGGAAACACCCCACAGTCACACCCAGAAAAGCGCTTTAGCCATCTGCTAGGAGTTTCTTAAGCCGGTCAAATCGACGTATCATGATTAATGTCACAGAGTCACAGGCGGAACAGTCACTTGGGCACTAGGGATACAGGGACACACACACATGCACACACATACATGTAGAAACTTAAAAAAAAGTTGATATTACCAAATAATTTTATTGATCAGAAAGAAGATCTAAGTTTAAATGGATTTTCTGTTATTGATGCTATATGTTAGTATTGTTCCTATTTTCAATTGTGTTTGAGATGTTGAGGTTGACACCATCTTCCTCTTGGTAATGGGCCACTAAAAGCCTCATCTCCACTTCTCTTTTCTCTCCCCTGGCAGGATCTCTTTGAAGAGGGCTGCCTTCTTGGCAAATGGAGTGTGTTTATGTGTGTGTGCGCGTGTGCCTGAGAAGAGGAAACACCCATGTTCTACTTGCCTGTGTCCACTGGTAGCCTTTTCATTTTATTTTATTTTTTTATTTTTAAAGTGGAAAAGTTTTATTAACATTCACACTCCCCTCATATAAGGCCATATAAAAATTCTTAGCAGTTTGATTATACATTTTAAAAATTTCTACATAGTTACAATGGTGTATAATATAATTTACCTTTTCATAATACACCAGTTCAATACATTAGTTCTGTTAAGCATATAATTTCAAATCTAATACCTGAACAGTTTCTCTGTACATAGGTTAGCAGGGCTAATTAGCATAAGATGCTCTTTATTAAGAAGTGTATGATCTGAGTAATAACAGTTGCTGAAGTTTGGTATTTTTTTTGCAGCATTTTCTTTTTGCTGTGATCCCAACACAAAAATGAAGGATACGGAAATCTCAAAAGTCCAAAGACATTACCTGTTGAACCATCGTTATACATAAACCCTTTTCAAATCTGTACTAGGTACAGATCTTTCATATCAGGATAAGGCTGCTTGGGAATAGAAATGGAAAAGATAGCTTTGAGTTTTCTGTGTGGTGCTGATAGGAGGGGAGAAATGGTAAAATACCTGCTGCTTCTCACTAATGAGAGCAACTTGGAGAAATACCAGAAGGTACTCCAGCTCATTCTTTAGTGCGGTGTGAGCGCTGGCTTTAGCTTATGCTAGATGGCCATGGTGCTGATCTTGTGTGTGAAACACAAAACATTTTCGTACTGTGATCCAAGTCTCAATCGCAAGCTATATTGAGATTTTAAAAATGTTTGGGCTATGTTTTATCCTTGATGCCTGAGTTACAGCACCGGTCTGTTATTACTTATTAGTAAAATGAATATAGTCCTGCAGATAAGGACCAGATAAGAGCCTGTTTGGGCAATCTGATTAAACTAGAACACTAAAAAATAAGGTATATCTACAGAAATCTCTAAAAGGTGCAAAAAATCAAATACATACCTAAATAAATGTTTCGAAGGGAAATCAGCCCATCACCTAACGGGTCACACGGTATTTGCTATGTCGCAGTCCCACTCACCATTAGGCTGCAACTGGACCACAACACTGTGTTCATTCACTTCATTCTCCGCCTCACTGCTGTCAGCATCTTCGTTGTCCTCAGAGTCTGAAGAGTCTGTCATGTTCTGGTGCGAGTGGGACTCTGACAGAGCCCCAGATGACTGGGCACTGACAGAAGCTAAAGGTCTAAGCAAAGGGGTGTGTTGTGACACTTCGTTTTCCTCTTGACTACTGTCTGTGTCAGAGTCAGAATCACCCTGAGAAGGAACAGCTTTTTGCTTGCAGACTGGACAGGTTTTCTTGGTTTTAGTTAGCCAGAGGTCTACACATTTGCAGTGATAAGCAAGGGAACAGGGAAGGATTCTGAGTTTGTCTCCATCTTCATGTTCATCCAAACAAATGGCACACACATCATACTCATCTCCTTTCTTGAATTTATGTACAGGTAGTTTCTTTTTTCTTTTTTGTCTTTTTTGAGACAGGGTCTCACTGTGCAGTTCAGGCTGGCCTTCAGCTCACTTTGTAGCCCAGGCTGGTCTCGAACTTACAACAATCCTCCTGCCTCAGCCTCCCAAGTGCTAGGATTACAGGTGTGCGCTACCATGCCTGGCTGTACAGGTCGTTTCTTAAGTTGATCTTTACCAAGTCTATTTCTTCTAGCTCTATGTCTGTCCTGGACAAATTTCGTCATCATAAAAATGACTACTAGGATGAGACAGATGCCCACTATGATGAAGAAGGGAATTAGTATTCTAGAGGAAGATTAAATTCTGGAACTAAGATAAGGTGGCCCCCTTTTTCATGTGTGAATTCATCTTTCAGGGAATTACCTGATGATTCACCAATAAAGACAGATGGAATATCAATGTTCTTTAACACATCAGTGTCATTGGATCCCATGTGAATGAGGTCTTCAGAATGAACATTGTGAACAATGGCTGCTTTGTATCCTTCTCTCTGAGCATTTAAAACCTTTATATGAAAATTACAATCAAGTCTTCTAATTAACAAGATGAAAATGCCAGATGAGTTGTCTTTTACTGGTAGAGGCATTATGGGTTCACAAGCATTCTCTGGTTTTGAATTAATCAAAAAACCCTGTAATCCCAGCAATTGAGAGGCTGAGGCAGGAGGATCACTTCAAATTCAAGGTCAGTCTGAACTACAGGATGGGACCCTGCCTTTAAACCTTCAGCTGGAGGTCTATAACCAAATTTTGCTGGAAGATAATCAAACGTGTGAGATGCTTTTTCAAAATTATACGCTAAAGTGTCTGCTCCTACAGGTAGTAAGTTTGAGAATGCAAAGAGCTGGACAGTCAAGATGGTGTAGACTTGTGTAGCTGAAAGCGTAAGCATCACTATGGAGAGCAGTATCTTGACAGCAAGTCACGTGGAGGGCCCGCTCCGGGATATAGGCTCACTGGCCTTGTTGCTGCTTGAGAAGACCCTAGCCTAGTTCATAACTGAACATCCGCACCGACCCCTACAGCTGGAGTCTGAGCAAGGAAGATACACCAGGGCGAGCTGGTAGCCTTTTTAAAGAGAGGGATAGACAGTGATCGCTCTCCTAGTACCCTGCCTCCCTAGTCACTGGTTGAAGCTGTACATTGGACCAGAGACAAAATTTGAAAACTACTTTCATTCCATTTAATCAGGTCCAAGGTTAAGAATCATACTGCCAGGCTCAAGCGTCCGCCAGCCTGCATGTGTATGGGTGAAGTCACCACCTCTATTTTTTCCAGCAATGTATTTCAAACCATATGATGCTTCTTTCATTTGTCTTAGTTGGAGAAAGAGTTCTTTCATGTGAATTTCTCAACTGCCTGAGTTGTATTCCTTTAAGAAACAAAAGAATAGTTAACTCTTACTTATAATTTGGGTTGCTCATCTGAGAATCCATGTGATGTTTAAGCTTGTATGTCTGATTTATTGCAGCTAACATTATGATCTCAAGGTGAATCCATTTTTCTACAAATGGTTCAAGTTTATCCTTCTTTATGGCAGAGTAGTATTCCATTGTATGTCGCATTTTGTCTGTTCATCTGTTGATGGATGTGTAGGTTGCTTCCAAGATTTAGCTATTATGAGCTAAGCTGCTATAAATATTTGTATGCATGTATCACTGTAATGTGCTGTTTTCAACTCTTTTGGGAAGATACCTAGAAGGGGAACAGCTGGCTCAATTGCATGTGTATAAATGTTTTTTTTTTTTTTTTTCTAGACAGACTTTCACTATGTAATTCAGGCTGGTCTTGAGCTCACTTTGTAGCCTGTGCTGGCCTCAGACTTGTGCAGTCCTCCTGCTTCAGCCTCCCAAGTGCTGGATTACAGGTGTATGCTCCAAGGCCTGGTTTAAATGTGCATTTATATCATGTAGTGATATGAAATTTATTTAATATGGATCACAGTCCAATTTATTTTTAAAAATCTACCCCTGCACTTTTCTAGGTTGTTTAAAAATGTGATTTTGAGGGAAAATGAATCAGAACTCCTTACAACCAAAGCAAACTGGATGAATGGTCTGACATTGTTTCAGAGCGGTTTAAGCTTTGTTGTGAAATTGTGGACATAAAACTATTAATGAGGCACTTGGAATATTTTCTAGAATCAAAGACACTTTCAAGGACCATCACAAGCAACCAGCTAAGCAGACAATCTTGTGACTTACTTAGGACAATCATGATGAGTAGGTGCTGTCTCTTTAGTAAAAGGGAATAGATGCTATTTATTGAGAATTTATAGTGTCAGGTCTGTTCTCAATGGTTCTAACACGATCTTTTTTTGTTTGTTTGTTTTAAAGATAGGTCTCAGCTGAGGCTGGCTTGGAACTTGCAATTCTCCTGCCTCAGCCTCTTGACTGTTGGGGTCACAGGCATTCACCACCATACCTGGCCCCTTTTAATCTTCTAACGACTTTTGAAGTTGGTATTATTTTTCACAGCTCATGATGAAGACCCCAGGATACCAAAGATGTGGCCAGCTTGTCTTGTACAACCGATTTCCATATGCTTAAGTCTAATCCACATCTTCCCTCAGAATCTGGAGTCTGTTTGTTTAGTGCTTATCAATTCTACTGCGATTTTCTCTGACTGCCATTGAAGTCATTCAGGCTGTGTTGAAGCCCTTTTCCTCTTTGTCTGCTTTGTGGCGGCATTGAACAGCTGGTCACCGTCCTCTGACAATGAATGGAGAGACAGTCATCAAGCAATTGTTCTCCTTCGGAACCAGCAGTCTCTGCTCCTTGGACCGTTTTTCTCTGGTGCTATTTTCTCTCAACCCTTCAATTACTTCTTTGTTTCTCCTCCTGTCCCTTGGGGATAGCACCACAGCTGAACTCCTGATCAGCACAGATGTGGGGACAGGGTGAGGATTGGGCTTCTGGTGTAAATGCCTTGGAATTTCCCCAGGATGGCACCGTTAGCGATTTCTAATCTGCAACTTCTAATCGGCCCTCACAGTCTCCTGGGCCCCTCCAAACACAGATCTTAGTCTCCACGTGTCCTCGTAAAGGACTCACCGTTGCTAACACTGGTTACAGCCTCCTTAACTCTGCTGAATGCCTTTTTCTGACTCTTCAGATACTCTCACAGAGTCCCCATCTTTAAAGGATGTTTGGGGGAGGCTGGGCCCTTGCTCATCTCTTCCCACTTCAGACTCTTCTGTCCCTGTCTACGTTCCTTTAACTTCCTTCCTCAGCATTGCAATGCACACATCACACTCTTTTTTTTATTATTACTTTGTGGTTGAGTTTTAAAAATAGACAACGCATGCAAATGCTGTTAATTCAAGAATTTCTCTATGATATTTTGCACTTATTATTTTCTTAGTAAACTATCAAACTTTTTATGCCACATGTTTAAGATCTAGTAAAACACAACCATTGGGCAACGCTTTGTGTTTTGAGTGAAATCATAATCAGAATATCAACAACATCTACTCTGCCTTTGGTTTTGCTGTAAAAAGTTTCTATCTCAGGCTTCAATTCTGTTGAGATTTCTCTGTCGGTGTTTCCATCATGGTGCAATGTTGACATCTGCAGTGTTTCTTCTTTGCTATATATGAGGTCAGTGTTAGATCTTTCTGAACTCCAACGATTATACTGTACAATTTTCTGTTTTGAAACTGCAACATTTCCTTTGTAATTTCTGCTTTGCTTTTGCATCCAGTTCCTATGCTGGTCAACCTGTACTCTGTTAGCAAATGGAGCATCAATTGGAAACTGATGAACCAGTTGTAGAATGTCACATTCTGATTAGTTTGGGAGATGGGAGTAATGGGTTTGTTCACAACATCATTTGGTTCATTACTATACCAGTAAAGCCCTGGTCGCTGAGTTCCAGGATAGATTTCTAAATTGAAAGTATTGTCTGTCTTTGCACGTTCCAGGGCATATATTTTTATGAATGCTTTCAGTTCAGCTGGTGAGGTGTCATAATAAACAGATTTTTGAGTATGGCTATTGGTGCACACAGAACATTTTGCTTGTATTTCAGTATTTGTGTATTTCACAGTGTCTTGTAGTGCTTCATCTGTTACAAACAATCTCCAACACTCAATGGCAGTGCTGGCATTCTGTTCGATAGGTTTCACCCCTGGCAAGATTGTCATTATATTTTTGGACTTAGTTCTAACACTGGATTGTTCTATTTGGTTGTGTGTGACCATTTTGTACCATAGCTTAGTCAGATATGTACTTACACTGCTGTTTTCTTCATCATCTGAACCAAGGAGGTCTGCACTCTCTGTGTCTGTGTTGGTCAACTCTCGCTCCATTTCAGTGTCGTGAGCTTTGGCTCACATGGCCAACGTCAAAGTCGTCACCATCATCACCATCTGCGCATGAGTAATCTCATGGTTCACTTTTGATCTCCTTCCAAACTTGCAAATTTGGTGTTTCACGTGCCATTGTACTGAATTGCACTACTTTTACCAGAAAAATCGAAAGAAAACTTTTCAAAACAAGTCCTAAATGCACAGAAATTTAACAATGAGCGTTTCATGGGCAAACTCACCTGTTGCTGCTTTGGAGCTCCTGGACACACCTTGCCACTTGTCTGCCAAGTGGGTGAATGCAGAGATGGGTTCCTGTTTTCCCCAGGCCCAGCTACTGTGAGCCACACCCACATTCCATTACTGGACAGTAGATGTTTACTTAAGAGATGAATGCTATGGGTGTATTTTACCCCCTGTGATGCTCAGAGAACCATATGCAAAAAACTGTTACATGGAGCATTGTGTGGGTAAAAATCTCAGTTTAACACTTTTGCTCAGGAGCACATCTTGCCATCCCTGCTGTTTTTTGTACCAGGTGGGTAAACACAAAGATTGCTTCCTGTCTCTACCAGGTGCAGCTACTGAGATGCACAGCAGGCTATTATGATTCTAAGGTATGAATTCTCATTAGGAAAGTGTGGTATGTGTTTATGTAACCCAATGTTATGCCCAAGTTAAATGCAGGTTGGATGTAATATAGCACTTGTCTTATTGAGAACATGCTTTGATCCAATTGACCCATGTAGCAACATGTGACCTTAAGTGGGTCATCCTATTTTTTACAAGGGCTGAATGCAGTTTGGACACTCTACTTCAGCTGGCACTAGAGCAACTAAACCCAAGCCTTGGGAAGAACAAAGTCTAGACAGCTAGAGATCCCTTTTTGTGATTCCAGGGCCAAAGAAAAGAATTCCACTTTCCTATTAGAAAGACTGCCTGGTGGCTAAATTAATGGGTGGGACTAGCTACATAATTTATGGGGCCCAAAGCAAAATGAAAATATGGGGTCCCTTATGAAAAATTGTTAAGAATTTCAAAACAGTGACCCCAGAGCATCTCATGTAGCTAGGAAGAGACAGAGTGAGATCTACAATTATAGACATAATGGAATCAAATTATGTGGAAAAAGGAGGTATAAATTATTCACTCTACACTGGGATTTATAATGCCCTCTTTGATAAAACCATGCTTATGCTATACATTTTTTTAGTAGATAATTCTATATAACTTTGAGAGTTCTGGTACCTTTCCATCAGCACCATTTTTCTATGGGCAAAGATAAATGGTTTATGTACCTTTTCTCAGTTCTCCTGGCTTCCTTTCCCACCAAATTATGTCTAGAGTCCAAGGCTTTTGGGCCTTGATCAAAAGAGTTTGGATTAACCAGTACTTTCTAAACTTTCTAAACTATGACCTTTCAGTTGAGTTCCACTGAAATCTAGGTCTTAATAACATGCATTACAAGTGAAAAAAAGCTCATTAATTGATAGTTGCCTTTCTACTTGTGATGCAAATATTTGCTATGTTCTTTTATATACTATTCCATTTAAAAACACACCAGTCATGAGTGCTGAGCTGATTTTATGAACCATCGATGGCTCTTATACTATAGTTAAAAATTAGCTCTTGAACATCTTATATTGCTTCTCTACTGGGAGGCATAGGTGAGGACTGGGAGCATCTCACATGGGAAAGCTCCTCTGGAAGAAAGAACCACCAACACCCTGATGTACTGGTGAAAGGGCAGGAAATAAACACACTGGGAGCCTACTGGAGGCATGGAGATTGGCACAACTTTTCTGAAAAAGTAGAGTCCCATCCTTATGATCTCATTACTCTTAATTATTTTCTTAAAGGTTTTATATCCAAATATGGTCACACTGGGGTTAAGGCTTCAACTACTGAGCCTGGAGAGATGAAACTCAGTCCGTAGCATATGAGTTATAGGATTGTAGGTGAATTTTGAATTCTTCACTTTGATTATTTATATTTTATAATTTTTCTACAATTATCATTGAGTAATTTAAATTTTCATGGCTTGTGTAATAAAAAATCGATAAAGGGCTTCTCCAAAAACAAGGGAAAAGCAGAGGAGATAAAGAGAAAAATATTTGTTTGCTTTAAGGAGAGCAAGAAAACTCATCTGAGATTTCCTAAGTACAATATTTTCATGTCTTATCACATTGGCTACATATTCAACAAAGCAGCTTGTGAATATTTTCTTCTTAAAATCTTCTGATGAAGGTTCAGCTTCATGCTCTGTCTATGTATGGAACAGTCCCCATAGTGTGGTCTCAGGTACTCCAGTGAGTTTTGTAAGACAGCTGATTGCAGAGAGACAGGCAGGCTCCCTCCCGTATGGCTACCGGTTTCTGGAAACTTTCACATCTGATGGGGCCTTTGATCATTTTTACCATACATTTTCAAGTGATAGTTCATGTTTGTCTTTGCAGTAAGCTTGTGATGTCAGCATTGTTTCCCCATCATTGTATTCTCTTTTGGATGAGGAAACTAAGGCCCAGAGACTGACCTATCCAAAGATCACACCATCAGACCAGAGGCTGGATTTGAATTCAGATCCCTGACTCTAAAAAACACTCGTGCTTTCTGCAATATCTTTACCATGGGCCTGTAGATTTTGAAAATTTTGTCTGGTTTTGAAAACAGCTTCTGAGGGCTGTGGTGTCTAATTAAAAAACAGAACAAGTTATCCAAGGCTGTACACACATCTCACTTTCCAGCAGACAGAGACTCACACTCACAGTCCACCTGTGCCACTGGGGAAGGAGGCCTGCTTATTCTTCCACACTTTCTCTCCCTTTGTGTATTTCAGCATTTCCCTCCTGGTTACCTTGTTGTCCCAGCGCTGTGGTGCTCACCCAGGCCTCTGAGTTTTGAGCCAGCAATGTGCAGATATTCAAAGTTTACCCATTGTGCCTGCCATTTGTGTCAGCACTTTTTCTAGTTGGGGTGGGTGGGGCGATTTTCAATTAAAAAGCATCCTAAAGAAAGAAAAAAAATCAAAGCATCAATTAGGAAAAAAAAAAAAAAACTAATTTCCATGGCTGGCAGTCTGTTTTTGGCAGGAGGGATATTCTGCTATATTGCAACTAATATTATATCGGAGTTGATCACTAACAACATGATAATGAGTTCTTTCATCTCTAGTCTATGCAGCAATTAATTAAAACATCCAGGCCCTGTTAAGAATTTCACAGAGTAAATATTTTGATCTCACTTTGCATGAGTTGATAGTGGAAATATATAGGAGATGGTATATTCGCTTTGCAAAAAATAAATCTGAATGTAAAGCTCTGCTTCCTCACTTTGATGAGTCACCATATCTCAGGCTTCGTTTCCTCCTTTGTGAAAAGGAGATAGTCATACAATACGAAAAAGCTTTCATTCTCCACATGGTGAGCTGGAGTAGCTTTCCTGCTCTCAGAAAAGTTGTTGCTAAAGTTCTGTGAACTGTTATAGCTGATCGCTAAACACAACTCTTATCAAAAATTACTTCATACGCACTTGTAATGAAAGATATTTTAAAAACAAAGATCAAATACTTCAAACTCACCACGTCTCAGTGGTTGCACCATACTTACAATGCTCTTTGCTGCCGTGAGTATTTACATTTGTGGGATCCGTATGGTGGAAATAAAAGATAACGGCAGGCCACGGTGCCCCTCCTCCCACCTTTGTGTTTGGTAGCATGGTAACGGTAGTTGAAACTTGGCCAAAATGAGAATACTTATACCCAAGAAATGAGCTGAGCAAAATCTACAAATCCAGACTTGGTTCATCCCATTTTGGTTGTCTAAGGCGGGGCTTCTAAACCTTGGTTCTGTGTATACCTGGGCCTGGTTGATTCTTTGCCTTGAAGGAGCGTGCCTTGTAGCACACCTGATCTCTACCTACGAGGCGACATGTCCTCCAACTTGTGACAATAACAGCTGTCTCCAAATATTGCCAAATGTCCCCTGGGGGACAAAACTGCCCCTTGTCCCACTGAGTATCATTGCTCTAGGAGCCTGACAAAGGAAAACAAGCAGACAGAACCCAGCCTGTAGTTGTCTCTACACAGCCTGCGAGCTCAGAGGAGGCTGACGTTCTTACAGGGTTGTAAAACACAGCACGTGTACGTGGTCTGTAAAGCCTAAAATTTTCACTTTTTGACCCATTACCGAACAAATCTAGTGACCTCTGGTCTGAATTATGGAGAAATGGATACTGCAGATTAAAAATAGTGCGTCATGTTTGTAGCTATTGTACTGCGAAGTGCACACACAGAGAAAGAAAACATTCTCTTGGTGTCCAGACCTTCTCTGAAGACACTGCTTACACTGTCAATAAATAGGAGTCAACATCTGTGGCGCTGGAACTGACAGAGGATTCGGCTTAAGGAAAACAATTTGTGTGAGAGTAAGCCACACAGAGCACGTCAAGACAGTAACAATGCAGGGCAAAGAATTAGCTTCCTAATGAACGCTCCACTAGTAAAAGTGATAATATCAGCCAACATTTATTGAGTATTTGGTGTACATCAGATGCCTTTCCAAGCATTTTAACTGTTTATGTATCAATTGCCACCACAGCCCATGAGAGATAGTCTCTCTGTGCACGCCCATTCTGTGGATGAGAAAACCAAGACCCAGAGGCTGAATGTCTCTCTCCAGGTCATGAATTAGGAGTGGGCATCCAACCAGTCCCGTGTTCCGCTTTGCTAGGCCATCTGGAAAGCAGAAAAGGAAGAGGTGAGAAGAGAAGGGATTAATGGGGCCAGTCCTGTTCTTCAGAAAGGGAGCTATGGTGGACTCAATGTAGCAGAGGAGCAGGGTCAGCTGGAAATAAGAGGCATCCCAAACATAGATGCAGTGCAGGTTTCTTGTCCCTTGATATGGAAAGCCAGGGAGAGGGAGGAACCAAGAAGGCGCATAGGTTCTAGCGGGTGAGAGAGCTATGAAGGAGCTATGAAGAGACATTGGAAAGGGAGGCAGGGGAGATGGCAGAAATCCAGGTGCCCAGGAGCCTTCAAAACAGCAAAGGAGGAGCGATTTAAAGGGAGGGCTACCAGGTATAGGGGCACATGCCTGAAATACCAGCGCTCTGGCAGGCTGAGGCGGGAGGATGGCAAATTTGGTACCACACTGGGCAACTTAGCGACTTAGCAAGACTGTCTCAAAATAGAAAAAAATAAATAACAAAAGATAAAATGGGCTGGAGATATAACTCAGTGTGAAAGCCGTGGGGTCAGTCCTCAGTGTGTGCGCACGCACATACACCCACAGCCGCAACCCAACTGCTGGTCTGCAGGGCTCCTGGCCCTCGTCACCTTCCCTACTCCGGGGCGCTGTGGCTTTGTCCTGGGAATCTGGAGGCTCTCCCAAGTTTTCGTTCCATGTTTACATCATTTAGCAGGGAAGGATTGTTAATGACTAATCTGTGTCCACAGGGCATGCAGCCAAGGGAGAGATGCCGCTGCTAGGGCTGTGAGGCCGCCTCCGACCATCCTCTGTGGTGTCTCCTCCTCCTCCTCACTCCACTGTCTCCTCAGCTCACCCCTAGGAAAAATCAAATTCTGAGCATTTGTAGCAAAGTTACTTGGATGTGAAGAAGAGGACTGGGCCCAGAATCCTTGGTGGTTCGGCTCTGACCCACAGCGATCCCAGTAAGTACCTCACACTCGGAACGGGAGTGTGTCACTCGGGGCAACAGAGAAAAATAGCCACATAGTTTTTGCTTTGACATCTGTCATTTTTGTCAAGGAAAGGGTTCTAGGTAAGTGGGGCTTGATGTGCACTTCTGAGTGTTAGGAAAAGAGAGGGGGAGAGAAAGGGAGGGAAAGAGAAAAGGAGAGCAAGCAAGCTACTCTAAAATCAAAAGGAAGCAGGAGTTGGGGGACCAACCCATCAATGGTTTAGGAGTAACGTTTTAATACCATGGTCACCCGGAGACTCGCTAGAGGCAGGAAACTTCAGGAACGTTTCTCCTCTGATTCCTTAGGCAGTTTAACACTGTGTGCAGCATGCTACCTTCTTGTGATTTGTCACATTCTAATGTGAGTTTGGGAATATTGCTAATAGTGATGAGTAGGGACATAGGCATAGGACGCTGAAGTTGTGCTTGACTGACATAAAAATTTTCCCAGGAGAAAACCAGGCTTCACAGGTTTCCTCTATTGATTTCAGTTGTAAATTTTTCTGTTGTGTGCCATTGCTGATACTAACGTTAGGTGGAACTATTGAAAAAGATGTGAAAATGTGAGGAAGAACTTTGTTATTAAAAGTGTCCACAGACTGAATCATAGATAAAGCATCTGATATGGTCAGTTAGGCAGCAGTGGAGCCTGGATCCTTTCTCTTAATTGGACTTTTATTTAGAAAGTAGAGGAGGTTGGGGGATAATAAATGACTTACCTTGGATCTTGTGTCTGAGCAACTTACATTTGAGTTTTGAAGGAATCTGATGTTGTCTCTGGGGCTGTCTTGAATCTTTTCAGGAGTATTGATGATGGGTATGGACTCGTGAAATAACATAATAAATGAGGTGAGGAAACTTTTGCAGGTGACAGATAGGTTTGTGCCATAGATTGTGGTGATAATTTTGAAGCTTATAGTATGTCAGTCTTTCAATAAAGTAGTGTGTGTGTGTGTGTGTGTGTGTGCGTGCGTGCGCATGTGTGCGCATGCTTTGGCCCTTAAACGAGGGAGGGTTAAGAAAGATACTTCGGAAGCCATTGTTGTGTTTCTGCCTGTTATTTTATAAAACGAAAGCTCTTTGTCTTTGAGTCATTTCCTCTCAACCCCCCAATCCTCCAAGTTTTGGGTCTGGGCCACTTGTCCCCTGGACTTCTCTGTTTTGCTGAGAATGTTGCAATGTGATTGATGTAACACCTAGTTCACAGATAAAAAGTGGTGGACAGGGAGGGACAACACTCTCCTCCCGAGACCCTTCCTCTGGATTTGTAGCTCTGGGGGTAAACTGTCCTTGGAGATGGAGAGGGAAAGTAATGTCATCCATGTCTTTCCTTTGACTTCCACACTTGGAAGGCCAGGACAGGTTGTAATGGAACAGCCAACGGTTGTGAGACCCTGGGCACTCTATAAAGGAAAGGACTTTGAGGACACACGCATGTGTGTGCCTGAGTGTGTGATGGAGGTAACTTTAATCCATTCTCTACTAACACATCCGAGCCTTTACCTAAATTGCCCGTGTCCCTACAACCACACCACGTGGAAGTTCAGCTTATACTCATGCCGTGGATGAGGAAACTGAGGCTCAAAGAGGATTGGCCTGGATTCCAAAGCCTCTTTCTTGCTCCCTCTGATATTTTATCCCCCTGATATGGTTGGAGGCTGGGAAAATCTGAACTCTGAAACGATGGGAGAGCAGGTGGACCAGCTGGCTGACATTCCAGCTTGACGGGAGTGATTTATTAAAACCCAGAATTAACTTGAAGATTCCTAAAACCTCCTCTACAGGGCATTTTCCAACCACACCGTCAGCAGGGGAAGTGGAAAGTTTACAGCACTGTTTGTCTTAACCCAGAGGCCAGGGTAGAAGAGCTGATTGGACACTTCCGGCCGCAGCGTGGTCCTTACAGACTGGAATGAACCCACAGCCGGCGGCACTGCGACTGCGCACATCCTGAGCGGCTCAGCGCCGCTGATTCACAGCGCTGCGGGTCAGGCTGCGGTGACAGTGTCAACAGCCCGATGCTATAGATTCGCAAAGGCTCGGGTGTTGTTAGGTGGTGCATAAAGGACAGAAGAAAGGTTAAAAGAGAGAGTCTTGGTTTTCTTTTAAAGCCTAACACCTTAGACCAAAAAGAGGCTGAGTGAAAGAAACAACTTTCCCCCAGGGTTTTCTTAGGGGAGGGTGCCTTGGGCATTCCAAGCCCAAGCTGAGCTATACTCCCAGCCTCCTCCTCCTCCTAGCTAGTTCTTCCTTCTCTCCCTCCTTCTTTCCCTCTCTCCCTCCTTCCTTCTTCACTGTGCTACTGGGGATTTAACCCAGAGCCTTCACACCCAGCTATATCTCCAGCCCTTTATATAAAACTGTTTAACCTGAGACATATTCTAAGTCCTTAAGTTCCCCAGGCTGAGCTTGAACCTTCAACTTTCCTGCCTTTAGCCTCCCAGAGTGCTGGGACTGCAGGTGAGAGCTCCAAGGTATTTCTTCTTGTCCCTGTATTTTCTACCAGTGCAGAAGCAGCTAAAAGTCATCACTGCGTGAGTGTGCAGAGTCCCGAGCTGCATGGGGAGGCTAAAGCCATCGGGACATAAAAACATCTCTGCTCAGTCTTCCTCTTGCGCCTCCCATGCACCGCCGGCGCGCTAACCCCTGGCTCTGCACTGTGAGTCGCTTCCTCTCTTAGTTTTCTCCTTTCCGATTGTACCATAAAAATGTCTGTTATTCTCTCATGCTCCTTTTGTAAATTTATGTCCGTACAACATTAATACAGCGAGACTTGGTTGCGAAGTAAAACTGCAAGTATTGCACAGGACAAAAAAAAAATATGGTTTATTATTTGTTAGCCCCAAGAAATGCAACAGAGGTCTCATGATTTAAATTAATATGGGCAGTTATAAAATAAATTTTAATTTTGATTTTTCAAGATGAAATCCTAATACAACTTGCAGATTTTCCCACATTTTTGATAAATTGAGAGTTTTCTTTCCTGGTCCCGACAGGCCTGGCATAACTTTGGTCTCTTACACTTTAATTGATTCCATTAATCCAGAGACAGGAGAATCAGCCTGGCTTTGCAATTCCAAGTCCTGCAGGTATATTTAATGCGGGTGTCTGGAAGATGTGGGAAATGACTCACTTGCCCACGGGGAGGTGACACGCATCACTTGGATGCTGCTCAGAGGAAAGCCCACTGTAGGGCTAAGATTGTCCCTAAAGAGCAGGGAATCCCGCTGCCACTTCCAGACAGCTGTGAAAGCTCAGGGTGTAGAGGCCAAGTCCACACCAGCAAGAGCCATCACAGTTGGGATGGGAGTGGCATGACAAAGCCATCGCACTCCAAAACAGGAGTGGGGACGCTCCCTGCTCTCCTGGATCTGAGGCTGTGGTGGTGCTTGGTGAGGGGTCCTTTGAGGCTATATTTAGAGTCTGTACATCCTGGTGGAGGATTTTCAGGGCAGTGAAACTATTCTATATGAAACTGCAATGGTGGATACCTGTCTTGATGCATTTGTCAAAACCCGTAGAATACGTAACACCAAGTGGACCCTGATGGAAACTGTGGTCTTCAGCTGCCAATGATGTATTGATGTGGGTTCTTAGACTGTAAAATGAGTAGCTCTGTGGGCAACATTGGTAATAGGGTGATATTTACCTCTTTGTAGAAGTTACATGTATTTGTGAACTTTTGGTATGAGTTCTCTGTCAACCTAAATTGTTCTCTGCCTTCAAAAAAGTTTATGAATTTCTCAAAATCTGTACATTTTCTGTTTTTTTCCCACAGTGAGGTTTATAATTTCCATTGAAGTACAAAAATACTGCACAATCCTAAGAAGATTTTTTTACTTTTAGTTTTTAATATAAGTTTATTTGTGTGTGTGCTGCTGGGGATTGAACCCAGAGCCATGTGCTCTGCTACAGAGGGCGCTGCAGCCCCTAAAAATGCTTTTAAAGGAAACCTTCCTTCCTAGAGAACCTCAGTGTGCTGACTCACAGCAACAAAGTGTCACACTGACCAAATGAAGACAGAGCATGTGGCCTACGGGGGAATTGCCAGACCTTAATGCAGTCCGCTTATAAAACACTACATCTTCTTACATAAGTCTAGACTCTCTCCTGACCTTCTTCTAACCCTATTCTCCTCTATTTCCCACTTTCAATGCGGACACTCCAGTCTGTTAAAGCAACACCTGATGTCTTATGCTATAGACCAGGCAGAGTGTGTGTATCCATTGCGCTGCTGATGGCCTCTTAGGTGGTTTCCACCTTTTCACCCTTAAAAGTAATACTGCAATGAGCATCCTCATGCCTGTGGGTAAAGGTTCCTCCAGGAAAGACACCTGTGGATTAGCACTGCATTTGATACGTGCTCCGAAAAGACTAAAAACTGTGCCTCCATTAACGATGTATGAGAATGCGTATTTCCCTCTACTTTCTCCAACTTTGTTTTTATTTATTTATTTATTTATTTATTTATTTTGAGACATGCTCTCACTATGCAGTTCAGGCTGGCCTTGAACTTGCCTTGTAGCCCAGGCTGGCCTCCTCCTGCCTCAGGCTCCCGAGTGCTGGGATTACAGGTGTATGCCACCACTCCTGGCTTTTCCTCCAGTTTTGAATGTTCTCTTTGTTTTAATTCTTATTTTCATTAGTACATGTTGCAGTGCATAGTGATTATATTCCTGGGGAGTTGGTGGGGGTACACAACACATCTTCCTTCTTTTTATGTCCCCTCCCCCTCCTCTTCCTTTCCTCTCCCTCCATGTCTTCACCCTCTTCCCATGGACAAAAGATCTAGCTCTGTTTCCTATATTTATATTTTACTTCAATTAAAAAAATTTTTTTTGGTAGCGGGAATCGAATTCATGACTTCAGGCTTGCTAGACAAGCACTTATACTGCTGAGCTATATCCCTGACCCCAAATTTTTTTATTTAATTTTAATTAAAAATTGTTTTGAGTCCAGAGGGTTGGCCAT